CTCTTTACTACAAAATTAAAAAAAAAAAGGAATGAAGCACTGATACACATTACAATGTGGATGAGCCTTGAAAACACGATGCTCAGTGAAATAAGCCAGACAAAAGCCGACAACTAGTGTCTGATTCCACTCGTACGAGGTCCCTACAGGAGTCAGATTCATACAGACAGTAAGTAGACGGTGGGGGCCAGGGGCTGGGGAGGGGGAGGGGGAGTGAGTGTTTCATGGGGACAGAGTTTCAGTTCAGGAAGATAAGAAAGTTCAGGAAATGATGGTGGGGATGGTTACACAATATCGTGAATGTAACTTAATGCCACTGAGCTGTGCACTTAAAAATGGTAAACTGTGTGTTACATGTATTTTACCAGCAGTTGATTCAGCTGTGAAACCTCCTGCCTGGGGGAAGCCATGCAGGCCACGGAGACCCCACCCTGCTCTGCCCATTCCTGCTCCACGCTCAGCTCAACCACCACCCCTCCGCCTCTTGCACCACCTGGTGCGTCCCTGATGGTTCCAATCAGTCTCTCCCCTGGACAGGGAGTTCCCTGAGGGACTGGTGAGGTCTAGCTTGGTCACCACTGAGTCCTCAGCTCCCAGCCTGGGACACAGGGGGATGCCCCCCATTTCCCGTCATTTCCAGGGAAGCCCAGGCTCACTCACCTCTCCCACTCCTCCTCCGCCTCCTCCGCCGTGAGCGTGCGGTGCCGGGCCAGCGGCGTGAAGTTGTACCAGTTGTGTACGGGGAAGGCCTCGAAGGCCCCATCGGGGCACTGGGTAAAGATGTAGTAGGAGGTGTTCTCGGTCACACCTCCCTTCTTTATGCCCTTGAACCTACAGGGAGTTCAAGGTTATGGTCGGCCTGAGGAATAGGGACCAGCCCCAGCCCTCCCACCTGCATCCCCAGGTCTTGGGCTGGCTCTTCAAACTGTGTGAGCACAGACTTCATGGTCCTTTCTGGAAGGACCGTGAAGAGCATGGGTCCTACAGTCAGACCCTTCTGGATTTGCCTCCAGTATCCTCCTCAGGCCCAAACACCACTGCCAGCCGCCCCCTGGCCTCCGCCTTCACCTTTTTGTGCCCCACCAGACCTGGCCCCTTCCCTGCCTGCAACTGTCAGGCTCCCCGGGCCCCAGCCCACCCAGAGTCCAGCTGCGGCTGTGTGCACCGGGGGCCAGCACCCGGGCTGCCTGCATCCCGGCCCTCGGAGCTCCTACCCGAGCATCCACTTGGCTCATCTTCCCAAGTGAAACCCTTCACACTCGCCGCCACCACTTACTTCCGGCCCGATTTGCCGTTGACGCGGAGCAGCCAGGGCTGGTCCTCGGGCCGGAACTCCTTGAGGACGATGCCGTACTTCTTCCTCCGCGCCTCCTCCCGGAGCTTGCGGTTGAACTCGCTGCCAGCACCCGACTCGGGCATCTCCTCCTCTTGGTAAATCTTCTTGTTGCTCAGGTCGCGCTCCAGCCTGGCCTGGGGGCGCAGGGAGCAACAGCTCTCCTCAGGAAGCCTGCCCTGACTCGGGTGCCCCCTCCAACAAATGCCCTTTCCTCTACACCCGGCACTACCCCTCCCCCGGCCCCCCGACAGCTGAGCTGGGGACGCTTGAGCCAACTTCCTGCGGGGCCAAAAGGCATCGGGTGAATGTAGGGGAAGAAATTGGGGTAAGCCTTGTACCGTGTCTAGTTTTGCAGCTTTTTGAAAGTTTGAAAGTACTTCCCAATGCAAAGTTAAAAAAAAAAAGAAAGAAAGAAAGAAAAGAAAAGAAACAAAGAAAGAAAAAGAAAAGAAAAAAAGAGAGAAAGAAACTCCAAGACTCAATCACTTCTCATAACCTCCGTTTGCTCCAAGCCCCATCACGACTCACCTGGCCCAGAACCTTCACCTCCACTCTGTTCTCCCGTCAACTGCCCTCCACCCCACAGTGGCCAGATCAACCTCCCCATTTAAAATCTTTTAATAGTGGGGAGTGTATAGCTCAGTGGGCATACTTAGCATGCCAGAGGTCCCGGGTTCAATCCCCAGGATCTCCGTTAAACAAAAATAAAATGTGTTTAATGACTTCTGCTATCAATACATGTTTATGTCCCTCTAAAATGCATATGTTGAAACCTAATCTCCAGTGTGATGGGATTTGGGGCAATGATTAGATTAGGAGGGCAGAGCCTTATGAATGGGATGAGCGTCCTCGAAAAGGATCCCAGAGAGCGCCCCCTCCTCTTTTGCCAGGAGAGGACACAGTGAAAACGCACCAGCTGTGAACCAGGAAGCACACCCTCAACAGACACCAGATCTGTTGCTGCCTTGATCTTGGACATCCAGCCTCCAGAATTAGGAGCGGTACATTTCTGTTGTTCACAAACCGCCCAGGCTCTGGTGGTCTGCTAGAACAGCCCCAGAGAACTAAAACAGCTCCCAAAGTCCTTTCTAGAACCTCTGACAAGGGGGGCTCTGACATTACCTGTAGGACGGAGCCCCCTCCCTTGCCCAGATAAATCAAGGCCCCAGATGCCCATCCGTGGACCCAACTCCTTTCAGGAGAAAGCCTCCTGCAGGGCCTGGTGTATCTTACCTTCAGGGATGCCCAGCGGCTCAGCCTGGGCTTTAGTCATCACTTATCTCTACTTGGGGAGAGCTGGCAAACCTGAGCACCTAAGCCTTAGTTACTGTTACAGCTAAGAAGCTATTCCAACCAGCAAGTCTAGGATCAGGTCTCTCACCTCCCTCAGGACTAGGACTTACCTGATTCCAAGTAGCAAGGTTGACTTTATCGGCTGCATTGAAGGCCATGATGTTATATTTTTTGGTGGTATTTCTACAATAGACAAGAAGAGATAGTGTTCAATCATTTATTCAGTAAACACTCCCGGGCTCAAGCCCTTTGTGCCCGGTAATGCGAGGGACTCATAAAAGATCCAAGGGGTTCCCAGTCTGTCAGGGAAGTGGAGTCCATACCCCCAACCCCATTCAGAGAAAGGGACAGAGATTTCTGGGACCCCAAGATGAGGGGATAATTGGGAACTCAGCCCTGGGCAGGGAGGTGGGCAGTCAGGGAATGCCTCTAGGAGGAGGAAAATATTGGAACTGGGTTTTGCAAATCAGCAAGAATTCTCCTGTGTATAAATGTACTCATTTATTCATTCATTCACTCCGTTCAAAAAACAGTGCTGTCCCCAAAGAGGCCTAGCTCAACCCCAGCTCTGCCCTCAGGTCGCTGTAGTCTGGAAGGGGAATCAGGAGGTGCCAGGCACGCCTGGTAGCTCGTTAAAATTTTAATCCCTTTTTGGGGGAGAGGGGCAGGTAGGGTCAGGGACTTACTTGGGAACTCGGACGACATACTCGGTGACATTCTGGCCGCTGGAGCCCTGAGGGGACAGAACGCAGGATGGTGAGGGGCTACAGAGGCCGCCGCCGGGACCCCAGAACCGCCTCGCCTCATACATACGAGAGCTGCCATGGGAGATGGGCGATGGTCGGGGTCCGGTCTGATCCTGGTCCTTTTCGCCTCCTCCGAGGTCCGCGTCCCTCCGTCCCGCGGAAGCCGCCCTCGAGGTGTCGGGTCTCTGGGCCCGATCGAGGACCGTAAGACTGGGATGCTGCCGATCCTGGGAAAAGCTATCTGGGAGCGGTGCTGGGTCAGCGATCAGCCTCCGAGGCGTCTCCCGCCACGTCTGCGCCTGCGCCGTCGCCTAAACTGGAAGCCAAGCGAAACTCTCCGGCTAGCAGCGTCGCCGAGGCCGACCCCGAGCTAAAGGCAGCGCCGTCTGCGGCCGGCGCGCTGGCTGACTGCAAAATATAGCGCCGATAACTCGATCACGACGTGTGGGAACGCCCTCCCCGTGACGTCACACGTAAGGGCAACAGGGCATCCTGGGAGGAGAGGGAGAAACTAGCCCTTCCCGCGGGCTCCGGCGCCGTGCGCATGCGCCACTCCACTCAGGAAGTGAGTCCTAGCAGGCCGCGTTACCATAGCAACCGAGGCCCTCTTCACACTAAACCGTTGCGGCTCCACCTGAGCTTCTTTGGGGTTCATTTCTTTCCTCTGCCCCGGGAGGACGCCATCATTTCGCCAAATGATCGGGCCAGGGGCCCTTGTGACGTTGAACCGAGCCAGGAGGGGTCAGGGCCGGGGTGGGGTTTGGATGCGATCACCCCACGGGCGGCTGGCGGGATGGGTCTGTGCAAGTCCAAGCTGTCCCAGATGGGCAGGCCTCTGAGGCCCCAGGAGAAGGGTAACATCGCGGGTGGCTGGCTTACTGGGGGGAGGGAAGGAGGCTGTGGAGGGCAGGAGAGAAGCACAGGTACTCCACACACCAAGTCCAAGGGTGCACACGCCCCTCCTCCCCAACTGTGGTAGTAACACAACTGCGCATGCTCAGGATCAGCCATTCACTGATCCGCTTGAGCACCCGCTGTGCTGGGTTCTAGGCAGTTCATGGTGAATGGGGCAGACCAGCTTGGAGATTACAGTGTGGTGGAAGAGACAGCCTCAGAAAATGAGATCTACAAACCAGGAGGAACCGGGTGCCACTGAGGGCTGCCCCAGGGAAAGAGCAGGTGGCTCTGAGGGCTCAGGGAAGAGGGAAGGTGTAAACTAGAAGTTGACTAAGCAAAGGTGGAGGGAAGCAAGAGGCCCAAATCACACCATAAACTACAGCACCCCATAGATGTGTCTGCTAGTTGTGGACATTCAGGTATTCCTCGCCGACTACTATATGTCCGAAAACCTGCCAACTAGGGGAAACTTAGGGACAAGGAAGACAAATAGTCCTTGTCTTCATGGAGTATACAGTCTGGCTGGGGAGACAAGAATAAGTAAACAGGCAAAATCATCACTGATCGTGGCCATTGCTGTGGAGGGAATGGGATTCTGAGACTAGGAATGATGAGGTGGAAGGCTCTTTAGACAGAGCTTAGAGAAGACATGATGGGTGAGCTGAGACCTGAAGAACTGCAGTGGGGACTTGCCAGGATGAGGAGAGACTGTAGGGGAGGGATGCGTTTGGCAAGTTCAAGGGACAGAAAGGAGGCCACTGGGACTGGAATGCAGTAAAGGAAGGGAGGGTGGTATGGGAGGAGTCTGGAGAGGGTGAGCAAGTCCCTGCCCCTCTCTGAGCCTCAGTTTCCTCAACTGTAAGATGGGATGATAGGGTTATTGTGAAGCTTCAAGGAGATGCTGCGTGCAAGGGGCCTGGCCTGCTCAGTTTCACATCCTCATCCACACAACCCTCAGCAGCACTAATGCATGCATTGCCTGGATACACTGCTGGGTGTGGACACGCACCTCTGGATGCCACCCTAGGGCAAAAGTGGGTATGCCAGTGGACCTGTGTCTGGTGTACCAAGTACTCACACTAAGCCCTGGACACAGTCGCCTCGGTGCCCACTGGCCCCTCCAGGTGCCAGCCCCTCACCCTTCCTCTTTCCCTGGCACTGCAGATATCCTCAAGTCCCCCCTGATCATCTTCGTGATGGGTGGTCCTGGCTGCGGCAAAGGGACACAGTGCAAGAACATGGCAACTAAGAACGGCTTCTGCCACGTGGGGCTGGGCCAGCTGCTGCGGCAGGAGGCCCAGCGGGGCACCCGGCGGGGCCAGAAGATCCGTTACCTCATGCTGCAGGGACTCCTGGTGCCCACGGTGAGAGCTCCCGGGCGTGGTAGGGGCAGAGGGAAGAGGGAGCTTCCCAGGAGGGCCCTGTGCCAGCCAACTGGCCCCGAAAGCCACAGCTGCTGCTCTGCTGCCCTGAGCCTGTGTTCTCAACTGTAAAATGGAAGAGCGGCTGGACCCACAGCAGGAGGCTGTGGGGACAGTTGGATGACATCATTCCTATAATGCACTTGGCAGAGTCCCGGCACTTAAGAAGCGCTCAGTAAACTTAACTAGTATTTATTCCCTTTGTGACTCTGGGCATCACCCCAGTACCCCATGGTAGTGACCAGTAAATGCATCCAGCATGTCTGGCTCACGGCAGACGCCCACCCAGGAGATGGTTGCCCAGCCCAGTTCTCAGAAGTGCTTCCAGAGTCCCCAGCTCATTGGAGCCGACTCAGAATCCAGGATGCCAGCTGGGTGTTCCCCCCTATTCATCTGAATTTGCCAAGGGGACCTGGCAGGTGAGGGGCCTCAGGCACTGAAGGCAGCCCCCTCTTCCCTCCCCAGGGTGTCATCCTTGATATGATCAGCGACCACATGCTGTCCTGCCCGGAGAGCCGGGGCTTCCTCATCGACGGCTTCCCCCGGGGGGCTGAGGCAGGCCAAAGAGTTTGAGCGCATCGTGAGTGACCCCTGCCAGGGTGTGGAGCCAGGGCTCCCACCCTTCTCCCCACCTGGGATGGAGATCGCAAGGGGCAATACTGGGGGCGGGGGGGAGTTGGCGCAGGGAGATGGAGTTTTGTATTATCTAGGGACAGTCAGGAGATTGTTGGAAGCATCTAGAACCAGGGTGAAAAGCTGGTGAGCTCTCTGGGGGTGAGGACAAAGTCATTTTAACATCTCCCCTCACAGTCCCTGGCACCGGGAGACAGACTGTTTGCCCACCGAGAGGTGGGTAGTTTGAGCATCACCTCTGGGCCACAAAGCTGGAATATAGCTCTTTGCTCGTCTATTTATTCAACCTCCTGTCACTGACATAGTTCTTGAGGGCAAGCTCAGGCCTCTGGACTTGACCAGACACACAGGGTCCCTGCTTTTGGGATGCAACAGGCACCAGCAACAGGTCCCGTGCAAAACAAAACAGAAATTTCTGGTGGCGGTAAAGTACGATGAGGAACAGAGAACAGAATAATGTCCTGGAGAGAGGGCTGCTTCAGATGGGTGGTCCAGGGGCCCTCCCGGCAGTGGGCACCCCAGGGAACTGAGCCCTGGATGAGAAGCCAGCCAGACCCGCAATGCTGACTTCATGAAAAGTCATCCCCTCCGACCCCGGGCACCTGAACAGCCGTGACCGGAAGGCTTGGAGAGGACTTTCAGGAAAAGAGAAACGGGGGGCGGGCTCTGGGCCTCCGGGCTCTCCTGGGACTTGCAGGATGCCGGAAGAGTCGCCTTCAGAGAAGTCCGGGCACAGGGAGGGAATCAGACCAAGGTCGCAGGGGGCCGGGAGGGGCCGGGGGGCAGGGCTCCACCTCCCCTGAAGCAGAGCTGTGCGGCTCATCGTGATAATGTTAAAGGACAACCATTGGGCTCCCTCTCCTGGGAGCTGGGTGCTCGCAGGGCAAAGCCCGGGCTGATGAACTGCTCTGCCCTCGTCAGTCCCGGGGCCGGCTCTTGGCCTGAAGGAGGCGCCCGGTCACCAATGCCAGCTGGATGCGCTCCCCTGGCGGCCGCAAAGCACCGGGACAGAGGCTCCAAACGCCCAGCCCTCGGGCCCCATGTGATCCGCCAGCGCGTTCAGTTTGGACTCTTCAGCGTTTGACACTTTTTTTTTTTAAAACGAGTGGCCAACCTTCAAAACACCCGGAGATGCCACATCAAAACTCCCAGCTTCTCTGGAGAAGCGCCTGACTTGGCAACACGGGCTGCACGTCCCCATGGCAACAACAGCGTGAACGCCTCCTGAGCTGCTCACCAGCCCCACGCTGTTCTGGACACTCCGCGCGGATGAACTTTGATCTAGAACGTTCCGGGTGCCCGCATTGTTAGCGCCCTGCTTTTTCACAGCGGGATCAGGGAGCTTGCCCGGGTCACCCTGAATTGTGGCTGCGGAGGCAGGACAGAGGCCCCGATTTCAACCACGTGGGCGGGGTGTGAATCTCTGTGCTGGCCGTCCCACCCCCCAGCTCTCTCTCCTATGTCACCTGCCACTGAACATCCTGCTTGCCTCGTGGTTTCACGCCAAGAGGAACACGACACATACTTTTCCCAGTACCCGCATGGCTCTCAAAAGTTAGAAAATGAAGATAAATGAGGCTCTAGGTTACGAGTGGGTTTTCTTTGCAGAGAACGTTCTAGACCTCTGCGAGCTGCCTGGGCTCTGTCGGCTTTTGAGTTTGTGGTGGCCCCTGCCTGAGGGTCTGTCCAGGGTCTGCGTTTGTTCTTTGGGAGTTGTCCCTGGGGCCACCCAACGTGGACCTTCTGCCCTGAACCCGCCGGGCTCGCGAGCCTGTTTGTGGCCATCTCTGGCTGCTGCGAGTTGGCGCAGTGGGTCTGGCTTGAGGCGGGAGCCCCAGAGCACAATGGCCAGGAACCCCTCCCTCTGCCGTTCCTGCTCTCGTGCTGGGGGGACGAAGGTGCTGAAATTCACAGGAAGCCACAGTTAGACACCACCTTGGCGTTCCCAGAAGCCTGATGTCCCTATTTTCCAGACAGGGAAATCGAGGCCCAAGGAGCGAAGGTTCCCTGAGTCCCTGCCCGGTGGGCCACATTGGGCCAGCCTAGTTCAGGTGCTGGGTTTGGCCCAGCAAGCCTGGGGCTCGAGTCACACTGGGCCACTCTCTCCACCCGGCCACCCTGGGTCAGCTCTCTGAGCCTTCCTTTCCACACCTGTGAACATGCATAGAAATACCACCAGCAGCCCCCTGATTGGGGTGGGGCTTATGCAGGGGACACTTTCACGTCTGCTTCCCAGATGCCTGCGGTCACCTCTGCACCTGTCCTGAGGACGCAAGCTCTGGGGAGCGAGGCCTGTGGCTATTTCTCCAGATCCTGGCCTGGCCCGGGGCGAGCAGTGTCTGTTGAATGAATACACAGGACGCCCCCAGGAAGCACTCAGCTCAAGGGGTGGTGGGCAGGACCAGGCAAGGCACATGCAGCTCCGCCTGTCCTAATCAGGTTGGATTATGTCGGCCCAGCCATGAACAGTCTCCCAAATACCCAGGGAGTGGGGAGGGTATAGCTCAGTGGTAGAGTGTGTGCTTAGTATGCACGAGGTCCTGAGTTCAATCCCCAGCACCTCCACTTTAAAAAAAATGAAATATATAAATTAACAAATAAATAAATAAACCTAATTACTCCCCTGCCCCCCAAAAAACATCCAGGGACAGGAGGCCCATTTATGTGGGCTGATATTTCTGCCTAAGTGTCACCTGTACTGGAGACAAAAGATGATTTGAGAATGGTCACAGAAGAATGTTTTAAAAATAGGAGGAGGGTACAGCTCAGTGGTAGAACGCATGCTTAGCATGCACAAGGTGCTGGGTTCAATCCCCAGTACCACCTCCAAAAGTAAAACCTAATTACCCCCCACCAAAAAAGCTAAAAAAATTATGTCTGTTTTAAAACTTTTTTTTTACTACTTACAGCCTCACAGGAAATTGCCAAGATGGTGGAGAGGTCCTGCTGGACCCTATACCCGGCTTCCCCCAACGGCAACATCTTACTCTACCGTCGTCCAGTTATCAGAACCAGGCTATGAGCGCTGGTTTGTTTTTGCGTTTATAGTCACCTCCCATGGCAAGCAATGTCTACTTTCCATCTGCCAAAGAGCTACCGTGGCCTTAAAAAAAAGTTAAGTAGAAAAAGAAATGGATGGAATTCAAAGCCTTAAATAACAGGGCTGGCTGGGAAACGCCAACTCAAGTCCGTCAGTCGGTGCCTAGGAGCTGCGCATGGCTGAAGGCAGCCGCGTCGCACCCGCTGTCCTCACCAGGGAACACAGACGTCGCTGGCATCCGCGTCTGCTCCGCGGTCCCTGAGTGGAAGAGCCGGCAAGGAAATCTTTCGTGTTTCTGCGATGCCAAATTTCAAACATGTGCAAAACTAGAACAACAGTCCAAGGAATCTCCACGTACCCAGGTCAGACCAGCATCGCGGCTTGGCCACGCTTGCTTCATCACTGCCAAAACGTCTTGTCCGGATCGCAGATTCTGTGTTTTGAAGTGTGTCCCAAATCCCATTGTGGGAATTTCCTTGAATCCCAGATGATTAACATTCATCCCTCCAGGCCCTTCGATGCCCCATCTGTATCTGCAATTTCCCGTACCTGCGCTGGTTTCCAGCCGGTCAGATTTAGGAGTAAAACGAGGTCCACGCTTTGCCAGGCGTCTCCTCATTCAAGGCAGGCAGTCCTCCGTGCTTTCTTCCCTCCTGCCCTGGATTCGTCGAAGACCCTGGGTCATTGTCCGCACAAAGTCTCATGTTTGGGACAGTCCATGGGCGTCACGGGCCCTACTTTCCACCCCTCATTGCCCCACACACCCAAAGCCAACTGCCGGCGCCAGATTCAGCTTCAGCACGTTTTGCGCTCTGCTTTTTAATCCAAGAATATTTTAATATTTATTTCCCAATAGATGAAAACTTTAGTGAAGTTGTAACACTTTGGTTATCATACCTTAATATCCTTCATGTCATCAAATCACCAGCCATTATTCCAATTCCTGTGAACATCTCAAAGGCTTTTTCCTTTCACATCCTGTTTTAGTCAGGACTCCAGTCAGGCTGACCCACTGTGGCTGGCTGCTGTGTCCCTGTCCCCCACAGATCGGCCCCCGTGTCACTGTGTCCCTGTCCCCTGTCCCCCACAGGCAGCCCCTGTGTCTCTGTGTCCCTGTCCCCCACAGGCGGTCCCCATGTCAATGTGCTTCGCTTCACTGTGCTTCAGAGATATTGCTTTTTTTTCCTTCACAAATTGAAGGTCTGTGGCCACCCTGCATCAAGCAAGTCTATCAGCACCATTTTCCCAACAGCATTTGCTCAGGTCGTGT